TGTACAGTGCTAACGATATGGATCTCACCTCTCCAATCTGTAACAAGTGTTTCAGAGGTGGACATTTCTTTGCTGTCTTCACTCAAAATATTCAAAGGGAGGAGGAATGAGGACAGAAAATACTCTATACTATTGAAGGAACACAGGACAAAATATATTCCTGGCTTGGACATATACCTCTCATAATCTTTACGAATACAAGATGTAAGTTTGTCATATTCAACACATATTTAATCTAGAACTTTAATAAACTAGAGTTATGCACAAAAACTGAATGTCTATCACTACAAAGTAAATGTCTCCCCCCCCCCCAATACACATACCCACACCCCAAATGGCGAAAATGAAATGAGAAGGAAAGAGAAGGGAAAGAAAGGGAGGGGGAAGTAAAATGTAAAGAGGATGATCGAACCCTCTCCAACATCCAAACCAATGGTCATGTTCATCCACCTTGTAAGATCAATGCCCTTCAAGGCCTCAGAGTCTGGACTATGCCACTGTCTTCTAGTTTTCCTTTTCATTCAAATGACATATTTATTATGAATATATTTGAAATAGAATAAATGTTGATCTTTTTCAACAACCAAAGGTTCAGTGAAAAATTGATTCATTTTAATCTCAATATTATGTTAATAACATTAGCCAAGAACATGTACTGAAGGACCATTCAAACCTCAAATAAATCTTAAATAATAAATCATTTTACCCCCCCCCCCCACCTCGAACATGGGTGTGGGTTTCACAATAACCATGGCAACCAAGTTTCCCTATTGACAGAGATGTATCCACTATCCAAGACTGCATCTTAAAAGGAACTTGTGTTTCATCACAAAGAAACGTGTGGGGATATTTATATCTGCCTCTGTCCTTGCAGGCAATCTACCCAGAGTCAGTCATTTCCTTACAAGTCCCCGGTTGAGAGTTATCAAACTATCATATCATGTGATCGGTATCTAGCTTGAATCTTAACATCTGGAGAAGTATCTTAAATTGCATCGAAAAGAGGAGTTAAAGATGAAGTTGAGTTCTGGTCATGCGATTGCATTGTGAAAGAAACAGTGTGGAATCGACCAGAAAAGGTTGATCATCTAGCATATAAGAATTTGTGTGTATTGCAAGGTTCTGGAATCATCAAAATGATAAGAAATTAGGCCAAGTCTTGGTAAAGTTACAAACACTGTACACAGAAAGATGTATATGGGACTACACGAACACGTGGCGTAAAAATCCTACCCCGGAGTTTTACGATTTTACATGACATATTTAGAATATGAAGGCATTTGAAGAGCCATGCTTTTCAGGGAACATGTCTTATCTGATGTTCAAGGGCAGGTCCAAGCTATTGTCCCCTCTGGGGGTCAAATTTCATCTTTATATATATTTAACAAACTATACCTCATTTTAAAGCTGAAACTATGAATTTTATGAATCTGATAAAAAAAAATTAAAAATTATCAAAATACGAAGAGTGCCAAGGTCACGAACTTCGATTTGTATTAATTAGCGTGACGTACGGGACATTACATTTTTATTTTTGTATCTCATTTGAATTATTTGTTTAAAATTAAATATCTCAGGACATGATGACCATCATGCTAGAAAATAGGAAAAAAATATAAAAACTTTCAAAATTAATTAATTATGCAAATGAGGTAGGTTCCAAAGTGTGATGTCCCGTACGTCACAATTAGATCATAATTTGTTTAATTTTAATTATGAAAATAATTTTTTTTTTTAAAGATATTCTAGGAAGTTCTAATTTAGATGAATACCTAACAAAAAATAGGTTTAACAAAAATTTCGAAAATTCTGTGTTGATTACATAATCAAATTAAGAAATGTGACGTACGGGACAAGTGTGTGACGTACGGGACAACCCCATATAAAACCAATGCGAGATGTGAAAAAGGAAATGACCAAAAGGAGAATATATACTGTGTTAGGAAACTTGTTGTATACAGGGATATATGAACATTCCAACTGGGTCCCTTCTAGGAATTTACTTGTTTGTACTTTTGTTGTAGTTTTATGTAATTGTTGTTAATGTAATTAGACTTCAAGCCACACCCCTGGTATTATCAACTTTGGTATTTTGCCAGTTGATGTCTCCAACATTGGCAGGATGCTAAATATGTAAATCATAATAGTGTACTAGTTCCAGGAATGAGTCTAATGAAATTATATGGTAGTGGATGCACCAGAAGCTGGCTTTTACAACTCATAGATGCTGCAGGTAAGAATAGCATATGTATGCTATCAAGCTCTCCATGTGAGGTTTTTATATATTCTATTTAAATGTCATATATGATGGTAAAGGATTACAGCATGCACTGTACATTTTATGAAGCCAGCTCGGGAATTCTGATCTCCTAAAAATTAAATCATAACTTTTAAGGAAGGATAGCCTTTTTGAGTATTTCACACTCTCACCCACCTAAGATTTTTATCACTTTTACACCCATGCATTTTTGTTGAGTTTGCTTTAAATTAATCTTTTGAATTGTGGAAAAGGTCACACAAACGTTTAGGGTTTTAATTTCTTATATCTGGTGGTGTTAATAAGATGTTTTAATCAATACGAAATACATTCAAGATTTATATTTTTGTATCCATCTTTCACAAACATGTAGGTTACATTAATGTACATCAAAATTCTTGAATATATGACAGCAACATATACATGTTCTAATCTGTGATAAAAGGATATAAAAAAGACAATATGTCCAGCATTATCTTTGAATTCCTTCAAAATTCTATGATATTACTATCAAATAATTCAAACAAGCTATGAAGAAAATACTTCATATTTTTAATGTATCTTTGTTCACAAACACTTGGAACATAAGAAATGTTCTTTGACAAAATATGATGTGCCAAGTGTGCCCTGTGTTTCAAACAAGTTTAAATAAAAGTTTTCAAGTTCAAGTTCATCTTCTTCATTAATTATTGTTTAAAAACATTTTGCAATGTTGAATGGAATGGATAAAAGAAATAAAAAAAAGCAGCACGACTGCACATGATAGATGGGTAAATGGAATAAAAAATGGTATAATATAGTGTGTATGAATATTAATTAAATTTGTTTTCATTGTTAAAGTAATATTTGTATTGATTTACCTCATAAATTAACACAGATGATATTAAGTAATGGTCAGAGGATCTAATTGGGTTCTAAAACACTCTAATTGTCACTGATTTAAGTTAAAATTGTTCACATTTAACAAATTTTGACGAAAATTCTCCATTTCAATGCATTTTCCCATAGGGAAAAGTTGTCCCGTACGTCACGTGTCCCGTACGTCACGTGCACACATTTATGTTTTGGTATATTACATAATAACGAAAGGTCAGAAAAATATGGTAATAGTTGTGATTAATGCTTGATTCCATAATGAATTAGGATATCATTACCATAAATCTCATAACTTGATAAATTCAGAGAACTTTTATGATGAACTTATTTTTGAAAAAGTCAGAAATTCTCTGGTCCCGTACGTCACGCAGCACATTAATTACATTAAAAATTAATTTATGAATTGGTCAGAACTAAAACTTTTCACAAATGAACTAGCCCATAATAGCCACAGACTCATACTAAAAGATAGCCATATAAATAATGACATCCATTGTTATTTCTTGTTTAAAGTCTCTGAATGTCCCGTACGTCACAAAGCAAATAGCTTGGACCTGCCCTCTTCCACACTTACATGATAAGAATGATAACGCTCACAAATTATTTTTCACCTCTTCCCAGAACTCAACCTTCTCTTTAAATGGCATCTAAAAGAGGAGTTAAGGTTTAGTATTGAAACAATTTCCCTTTGATTTCAATCCTAAATGTGAGACATCTTCATATCAAAGAAGGAAAGAGATGTCTTGCTTAAATTAATGTCATTTGTAATTTGTTGACTGCCTTTACTTTCTTCTTCCTTTTACATCAATTTATCAGTGTTTGATTGATGTATACCAGATGGATAACATAACATAGATGTTCACATATTTTTCAGCAAAGTTTGTTAAAACCATATGTTTTTCATTCTCTCCCTCAAAACTGTCAGTTGAGGTCTAGTGCAAATGTTCAAAGAAACAGTTTTTGAATTTTCTGCAGAGGTGTTTGTATGTATGGGAAAATGTGCATTTCATTTTAGGAGGGGCAATTATGGGGTTCAACAAGAGAACTACATTACATTCGACTTATGTGTCAGGATGCCACATGTGTTTTTAAATACATGTACATCGTGACATCGACCAAAATGTCAAAGATGATTGCTCAACAGGACCTCACCCAAACATAATTTGTTATCATCACAAAAAGATATTATCTTTTTACATGGTAATCTGCTTGGAATTTGCACTCTGAATTCCCATAATTTAAAAGTTTGAAACACACCACTGGTCATAGTTTTATGTCTAGGCTACATGAAGTTAATTTGTATATCTGAGTTCAATTTCTACCTAAACTAGACACTAATGTAGCAGGCTAATTCATAGCCAAAATACAAGGAAGTATGATTTGTTCTTCTTTTTACTGAACATCATTTCAAACAAGTCTAGAGAATGAACAAATTATCACCGTAAACCTAAATATCCCCTTCTCATCCCCTTCTCTTCTTGGCTTCTCATTTTATATGATGAAACAGTGAGAGAAAATAGTCTTCTTACTCCAGACTCAGTTAAACTCTTTGACTACCGCACAGGAGTGTTTCACAAAGACTTAGACCGACTTTCAATTTGATTTAACTACATGTATGACAGGCTGTTCATGCATATTTTTCCTTCCATAATGAATTATCAGAAAATGTAAATTCTGTAGATTTGTGACCATGATTTGTATGTCTCTTGAGAGACCAATGCCAGTAAATGGTGTGAGCAAACAGTGTCATGAACACCATCCCATAGTTAAGTCCAATCTTAATTCGAACTTGGTCTTTGTGGAAACATCCCCTAGTCTGACTCATTTTGCCTGAGAGCCAGACTAAGAATTAACGCTTTCTACTCACCAGATCTACATCAGACTTGTTAAGCATGAAGACTTGACCCGAGCTGGTGGCAGCGATCTGCTCGTAGGCTTGGAACCCTGGGTGAGACTGATTCCCGCAATCCCCAGTCATGACGAAAACAACCTGCAATACATAAGATAGGAAAAGCATGGACTTTCAGTATGATCACCTGGATAACATGATTCATTGATTACATACAAATACCATATATTCCATATGGATGCCTAACTAGTCATGACTAATTATGACGAATGATGACAAAGTAAAAATCCAATCGTAAGGAATGATGATTGTAAAACATTGATTTTCAACCGCTTATTATATTACTACTAAAATCATGCATCAAAATGATGCAGAGACATTTCCAATTCTCGCTACCCCAAATAGCGATTCTGCCGAGATCCGGGGAAAATCCTGAAAACGCGCATTGCATTATGGGATAGCTTTTCGACATTACAGCTTCCTGTGCAGGCGTTCGTGATCACAACCCTCTCTTTCACGGTAGAGTTTAACGGCCTTTTGTGCTAAAGTCACTAATTCTGCCCGAAGCTTTCCATTGCATATTATAATCTGTACAAATTACACTGATTGGCATCGATTTTAGCGTGCGTGAAAACTCTGCACAGCGAACACAGGCGCTAGCGCCAGCGGGATGGGACTCTATACCGGAAGTTGTAGTGACGACCCGAGAGAGTGAAAATTACCTCGTCTCGCGAATTTCGAGATTTTCGTACCTATTTAGGGTAGCGAGAATTGAAAGTTTTAAACCCCCCAAAATCCTATTCAGTTTCACTACTTCACTACTTAATAATTCATCAAAATGATAATTTTGCATTGGCAAAGCAAATGACATGTAAATCACAAGTTCTTAGACTCAGATCAGACTCAGTTGTAAATACAAATTACAAATTTAACATTGGAAAAGATGTTGTGTAGACATATCTGACTATGTAGTTATACATGTAGGTACAACGGGCATTCAACAAGTAACTAGCCCTACTGACTGAAGGAGCAGCTTTAAGGTGACGTAATTGTGTAGTATGAATATTTCATCTTTCCCATTACAGGTGACAAGATAGCAGCACCACCACTTAGGTATTAGAGCAGCTGTTGAGATTGGAGTACCTGGGACGTTAAACAAATGACTATGTCAATGGATGTTGTTAAGCAACGTGCCCCAGAACAAGGAGCCAAAAGATATCCATGAGGAGCTGGTGGCAACATTAGGGGACAATGCTCTTGCCTACTCCAAAGTAAAGAAACATTGACACTTCTTTTAAAAGCTGGTCTGGAGAGTGTATGGCCCTCTTCAATAACAAGCCAAATGGGTTTCACTTTACACCTTCTACTTCTGAATAAATAATGATGTTCTTTACCTGGTACACATCTAACAATCATCACTATTAATAATAAAAAATAATAACTTGGATTTATATAGCGCTTAAAAAGGAATACCCTCTCAGAGCACTGTACTGATATTATATTACCCTGGTCATCGGATTCATTCACGCACAATGTGCATAACAAGAGGGGTCATGTTTGATTCAAAATCCTGAAGAAGTAATCCTACTACACTACTGTATATATCTGAAAACAACACTGCACGAACCAATTTCATTTTTTTAAATAAATCTTTTAAATCCATTCCAACACAAACAGTGACACAGTGAGTTATGTGAGGCTAGCTGATCTGTGAGATATCTAGCATCGTCAATCTATCTATCTAATCATGTGACGATTCCGCACATTGATTAAACCATGAATCATTCAACTCTACATTAAAAGAGATTTGGGCATCTGATATGATCATTCAACATCCCGGAGGAAGTAATTTCCTTTTCACCTTTTTCACTTTCCTAAAATTTACTCTTTGCAGATTGAAATTAACAAATGATATCCTCAATATGACTGCACAGAACAATTTGTTTTTAAACTTTTAAAACAAAATTCCTTTGGAATTCCATCTTGAAATGTCATAATCATTATTATATATTTATAAACCAATGTCTGAACACATATTTTCTTTGACAATCAAAGGACTACTCATATCAAAAAGTTTTTAAAAGATTTCTTTCTCAATAAGCAATAGCACGACCCTGATAAAGAGGGGTCGGAGCCTTTATAAAGAGCCTTTACAATAGATTAAAGTTTGGTGACTTAGTCATCAAATCTCATAATGCATTTTTTTAAAGGCCGCTATGACAGAAATAACTTTATAAAGACAGAAATGTGTATCTGCATTTACAACTAAACCAAATCTACCCATGGTCCCTGTTCAAACCCTGTACTGGAGGATAAGAGGGTGGAAATAAAGGTCATGCTAACTGGTATAATCAAATAAGGGAGTAGAGAGGCAAGCGACGGACTGGGACTGGTATCTGGGCCTGTTTATTTTCGCCCATTCCTATAATAGCAGAGGGCTCCCAGTGGATCGTGTTCCCTGCCCTACACCCATATTAACAGATTTGTTGCTAATCAGGGGAGATCGCTGCTGTCTTCAGGAATACACACCATCCCAGCAAAAGGATTTCATTTATATCCCAATATTAATAAGGGCACCAGGGGACCTTAAAATTTGTATGTATTTTGCTTGTCAGGATTTGCAAGTACAGTGCAAGTTACTATTTACATTTGTTGTTTGTTTTTTTAAACAAAGTACAATATGCAATTAATGGTAGAACATGTGTTTAATGGGGAACCTTGAGGCAAATGTCAGGAAATAATCAAGTGAATCTTTTAGAGGAAAGAAGTGCAAATTTGAGACAAATTAGAGTAAAAATTGTGAAACTCAGAAAGGATTTTTTTAAAGACAAATCAGGACAAAAGTAATTGGTAAACTTTGAGACAAACCTATGGAAAGAAACATGAGAAACATTTGAGACAAAGCAGACACAAAGAGGAAAGATAGGAGGCTGTTCGACACTAATCAGTAAAAGAAACTAGAGGGAAACAGTGACAGCTATTAACAAGGAAAGGTTGGTGAAACTCTCCAAGACGAACGAAAGAACAGATTAAAGAACCTTTTGAGACAAAGAAAGTAAGATACATGTTACACTCCAATATGTTCCAGAGAAAGGGGAGTGAAACTTTGAGAAAAATCAGATAAAGAAATTGCAAGGTAAAGCTAAATAAAACTTGACAACATTTCATACAAAAAAAAAGGCTGAAACTGTGAGACAGATCCGAGAGTATTTATGTGACCTACATTGCGACTAGAAAATAACATTTTTGTTGATAGTCTGTGTACAATAAGGAGCATCCCTTGTAGATCCCTCTTCTGCAGCTCCCTGACAGGAAAGACGTTGTATCTCTTCTCAACTTCTGTTGACAGTATATCGGCATGGCAATGAGCTGAGCGTCTGTCGCGACCAAGAGGTATCAAGGGCTCATGCAACCGGTTATCTTCTACAAATATAACGCTTTGACTTGTCTGTGCTCCAATGCATGGCCCTGCTTTCATCGCTGACACGAACCAACAAACACTTCCAGCATCCTTTTCATCCGTGCTAGATGCATCACTGATATCAAATCCGGGCCGCAGAATCTGAGTTCTCAGGACTTCTGGTGTCATTTGTTACCTTATTTTTTTTCTACCAGGTTTTACATTCATTTCACATTCGCTTTCTAAATACTTCCTCACCATGTTTTTGCCATCTCTTTCTCACCTAAATTTCCATCTCATTGTTCATAGTATACCTAAATTAATATTCCCATTACAATGATATGTCTTTTTCATTTTATTATTTATGCGTAACGTATCAGTAGCACTAGCCGCAAAGTCAACACAAATTTGAACACTGATCAATTGAATAAGACACAATGATTGAACAGAATATTGTACAATGAAAATGATACATGCAGAGTTAAAGATGCATGTATGATCAAATTATATTTACTGGCAGATCCACTAATAAAGTGATTGCTTGTACATTGTAAGGTATATGACTACTTGTTCCTTAATGTCTATTGCTTTGTAATCTTCTTTGAATGAAAGAGAGAAAATAACAAAATTATCAATAAAAACTTTCCGGACACTGCAATATGAATCTATCAAATCTATTCCATTGTATCATATCAGAAATTTTGCAACTGTAATCTAGGTCAATATAGCTGAGATTTTCTGATATTTAATGACACTCTTTGGAATAGCTATTGCTTGAAGCTGGTTAAGGGTCAGTTAGAGTTGAAAGAGGATGATTGCCTTGAGAAGGACAGGTTATGACGATAGGAGGAAGAGAAGGAAGGAAGGGAGGGAAGGAAGGGAGGGAAGGCAAGAGAAGGGTGGAGATGAGTGATCTCATGCTAGCAAAAACCCTCAAGAAAAGACACAAAACAAGTCTGACACAATTATTCTTCAAGAGTAAGTACAGGTGTAGTTCAAAGTAAAGAAATAGCAAGGGTAGTTAGAAACTGAAAACTAATGAGTGTAAATAGAATTATTCATGTGCATGCATTTGTTTATCATTTGTAAGATTTGACAGTGTAAAAGGAATCATACAGATTGATGTAATTGAACTGTTGAAACTATGAAAGGTGATTTATATCACTAAGTATCAGCTACTTAGTGTGCTAACTGTTTCGTTTAAATATGTCCGGGGATTCAGCAAAAGGATTTTAAAAACCTGTACATAGCTGCATCCCTGATTTAAAAATGAAAGATAAAAGTATTGAAATATAACAGATACATGATCATTAAAGGAGGATAGAGAATTAAAGATAGAGAATAATTCAGACAAAGAACATGAATTAACAGGGAGAGATAGCACGATGTAGGCATAAAAATGGCCTTAAAGAATCAAAAAGGAACATATCTAAATGAGGTAAACACAAATTAGCAACACGAGAGGAAAGTAGACAGGAAGAAAAAGTAGGCCAGGAGAAGTAAAGAAGGAAAACAAAAATGAGAGAAAAGGTGAAAAGGGCTACTGGAGATACTGGATAAAGAGACTTCCCAACATGTAAGTATTAACAAGCGGCAAAATCAAAGCATTTCTAGTCCGACTCAAAATTGTCATTCCAAGTGTGCTTTCATAAATGAAACCCAGACAGCCCATTCTCTCCCTCATGCTGCCCATTTCCTCTGGAATGAATCTATTTAGATAACCTTCATCATTTGTACTTGACTGGTCTACTCCCCTTTGAACACTACCCACTGTGCTAATGACCTCCCCTGCTGCTAACCCCAGCAAGGTCGCAGGTCAAAGGTCGGCCGAGGACAGGTCCCTTGAGCCATGGTCAATTAGGTGAAAAGAAAAGGAACTGAATATGTACAGTAATTCAATTGACAATAAAATGGGATGGATGGATTGCTAAGGTGACCTTAAGTCCTAATTTCTTGTTGATAGACTCGGCTTTGTAACCAATGCAGGAAAGCATCTGCTCTACTGAACAGTCATTATTTATCAAGGTACAGTTCAGAATATTTCACAGTTTTTCAGAAGAGGTGATGGCATTCATGTCACTCAACACACATATGTAAAAATATTGGATCTTGTCATTTGATAGAGGCAGGCAGAAGTGTTTACAAAATATCATTTAACATCTTAAATCTTGTGTTCTTGGGGTTTGGTAAGCCCACAGAAACTCTTTGTCAGATTTCTGTCATTTTATTAGACAGGTACTACAGAAGATACTAGCAATACAACAGGTAAGCTGCTGTCATTTTTTTCTTTCCTCCAATGGAATATTAAAGAAAAGAGAGGTAAAAAAATAAATTATCATGCCTGACAAAGCACTTAAAGAGAGTCAACACTACTGGGCCAGAAGGGATTAAACCACACACAGCGAGGTCACTGACAGGTGGCTATCTCATTAACTCAGCTCTCAACTAACATGAGAAAAAGAGGATCATGGGGGACCAACAGGCACCGATTGGGGAAGTTTTCTATATAGAGGGAGCAAGTAGTTACAAGTAAAACAGTGGGCCTTTAATCTCAATGTCAATATGCAACACACACATGTGTAACAGGAACAGTCAGCTGTCTATCCAAGATTTCTATGAAATTATTAAATCACTAAGCAAGGTGATGTAGCCAAATAAGGACCCAGGGAAAAAATCAATATTTATTTTTCGGGGGCATAAAAATAACACTCTAAATTTTGCATTGAACTCTATGCAAATTTACGAGGGGTTCCTTTCTGATTTGGGGGGGGGGGGGCTCTTTTGGGCATTTGGGGGGCAAATTCGCCCTGAGCCCCCGTGTATTTTTTTCACTGGAAGGACCCTAGCGACCTTGCATTCCTTTCATTGAAATTTGTACGAATATTCATTGAAAATCATGAATACAATATTAAAATAACTATCTTATGCATGTATAGTTTGACTTTGATCATAGTAGGTCCGTGCTTTGATACAGGTTAAGGACAACAATCTAAGGCTATACCTAACACGTTTTATTCGAATTTCCTTTCTGCTATCATTACTGTTTACAATCTTTAATGTTATCCTTGTATAACAGAATGATATACCTTGGTAGTTTCCTCAGCCTGCTTGATCTAGTTTGACTAAGGTCTATCCTTGACTTCTGTATGATGTATTGTGAGATAGGGTACTGGTCCCACAAGGCCTCATGATTACAGGCTCATTCTCAACCATACATAACCCAGAGTAGGTCCATGCATAATCTATCTACTTAGACAGGTGCACATTTAAAAAAAGTTTTAAAAGCAAATTTATTTCTCTGAGTATCCTGTAGGCATATATCAACTACATGCATTATGACTGCATCTGTTGAACTGTAAAGTGTGCACACAGGTGAATTTTGCAATTATGAGAGGACTGACTTTAGTCTGAACTGTCAACATACATACATATGCAGACCTAACTTTGGAATGATTACCAGTAGCATTTAAATTCTTGGGTTAAAACTTTGTATCTTTGAAAGAAAAAAGAAAAATAATGAAATGCTTTTAATAACTTCAGATCATAGAATCCTGTTAGGTAAGGATTAAACCAAAGTATTCCACAGCTAAAATAGTCAAATCTATTTATCTCAAAGTCCCAAAGATTAAACTTGCAATTTAAAAACTCATTCTTATATTTTGGATCAAAATTTGTTCGCCAAAGTTTTTCAAAAAACTTAATGTTATATTTAGGACCAAAATTTCTTTTCTCACATCTTTGAACACTGACAATAACTGTCTTTTCAACTGCCGGCCGACATTGCACAAAACAAGAGACTGATTTACACCCTCCTTTGCCTTATGTTAATTTGGAGATTTTCTTTGTCTAACATCTAAGACCTAAAGATATCACTCTTCCTTCCTCGATACCTAGTATTCTATTCCAGTAGGAAAGGGATGAAAGACAGCTAGAAGCCACTTTTCACACCTAAAAATCAGATAGTCTTCAGGAGATTACTTCTGCTTTTTGCTAATTTCCTGTCAAAAATCAGTCAGACCCGCCAAGGTCTTTCACAGCTGGGAAAGTAGCAGAGTTGATGATTCAGTAGGACTAGCTAGGAGAGAGTGTTTTACCCTGTGTGTTCAGACTACCGCAAGTTATTGTACAGCTTTCCAAGAATGGTATGGATATTTGTCCATAGTCTGAACATTGTATAACAAAACGTCATATAGTGAAATGTCTGTTTCGTCATCGTTTCTCACGAAAAATCAACATATAGCTCTAAACTGAACGTTGAACCATACAAAAATCGTACAACTGGGTGGGGCTTATTGTATGCGCACACTAATGATTGGCTATGATTGGTGATGTCAATTGCCCTCTGTACAATTTGTTTCTTTACATGATGTTGGAATCTAGTCTGAACGCTCCTTTTGCTATACGATTATTCTTTTAAAATAACGTTTCTTTTTGAAAGTTTAGTATGAATTTCCTATAGTGTGAACAAGACATTACATGTAGGCAAGGCAGTTCTTTGCTAGTATAGGAAGTTATGGTTGGAAGGACAACTGTTGGCCGTTGACTGATGTTTCACAGCACGCTCAGGAGACTGTACATTCATTTACACGTTCCTTCACACATTCTAACATTCCCTCAACTGAAATGTGATCTGCGCTCTCTCCAAAGAAAACATCTTCATGTGTTAAGGTTCAGTTGTCACCCCTAGATCCTATTCGCTTTCTGTCGTCAATGAATAATCATCTTCACGAATATGTAGGAATAATACTTGAGGAAGAAACCGCACCACACAGCTGACTTGTTCAATTTGTCATGACTATATGTAGCTATGAAAATTATCATATGGCACTACTGCTCCATTGGTTCTAATATCTTATCCTACACTGTATTCTTATAAAGACCACGTCAAGACAAGTTTTCAAATTGTGCATTGCAGTGAAAAAGTAAGAGAGGACACTACTAAACAATATTAACTCACTCAAAATATAGCTAGAGGGTGACAAAAGAACTACATGTATGTATGTACTTTTTTTCCTAGTCTGACTGTCCTGTAAAGAAATGTCAGTTTAGGCAACATTTTACAGCGAAACACCAATTTAAGCAATGTTTTGAACAAAAACTCAATAAGGAATTAAGGTCCCACTCTAATCTAAATGTTGTATTATACGAAAATTAGATCTCTGCTTTCTCTGTCTCACACCTCTAGAAATTCCTTTATTACCTGGCTTTCTTTCTCCTGGATAAGCTTGAGGACCTCGTTGGTGAGCTCGTAATCATTGGATCTGGCATCGGTGAAGACATAGATGAAGGATCCTGGAAGACTGATGTTGAGAGCATGATAGATGGCTGTGATACTCTTCTCTGGACAATCTCCTCCTCCTTGGACGTAGAGATCCTTGAGCTTCTGCTGGAAATAATCAGGGTCTTCTGTGATAGTGATCTCTTGGATTTCTGCAAAGAAACAAAGACAATTGTTCAAATTATAAACGTCTATGGATGTTCTCAGTCATCCAGACAGTAGATTAATAACATAAAATGTTATTACAAGTCAACTGGACTCACTTTGTTTTACCTGTAGCTTGAGGATGTTTCAAGTCCACTCCGGGATGTTTCATCAGGCAGTCTGGGCTTTGGTGGCACAGGTCAACAACCAATTGCCACCAAAGACCAGTCGTCCTGATGAAGCATCCCATGTAGGGTGGACATGAAGCATTCCATATATCTACACAAACTGTATCTCATGATAAATACATATATGTGAAACAGGGACATATTACATGTTTTTGTGTGGCGTATAAAAATTTATTGGATACACTGTGATATCATCCATAATATTCCTTCAGCAGTATATCCTCTCTATGATATAGGTATATGAATCCATTCACACCACTACATTCATCGTCTCACGCGCCCCCTTTCACACAACATAATCTCCTAGGACTACATTGTTAGGAACAATAACAAACAAATGAAATAAATGAAGAATAGAGAATGACCTCTCCACGGGATCGGCAGGCTCACAGCCAAGTTGATAAAACAAGATTGTTACCAAATTGCTACCAAGCTGTTGCTGCGGCAACCCATCAGCTACATGTAGATTTGAGCCATACAGAAGCTGTAGTAACTTAGCAAGGATCGGTGGTCATAGATAGGAAATAACTGACTATACATTCATGCAAATGTCTCAAACTTTGACCTAAGTTCATGGCCACAAGCTTATGGTAATTCTTGGGTACACAGCCTACCCCTTCAGTAATACAGTACTCTAGATGCAGAAATCAGTAGTAGCATGTACACTACTCGCCTACTACTACCAGGACTATTATAGGAGGTAATTGTTTGTAACATTCACATTTTTTCAGGAGGCAATGGGCCAAGGTATTACATCTCACACTGGTTGATTTTTGTAATCATGTTTTTAATATGTGAAATTGGCCAAAGATTCTGAGCAAAATAATTAAAAGTATAGAGTGACAATTTTTAAATGGGTTCTTAAATTTGCACGCCATCAAGTTATTATTTATTTATGCACATTGAGATGCATTTCATCTTTTCTGCCATTCCATACCCAGGGGAACAATAAACCATTTAGTTTGAGATGCCCATATGTACATAATCGAGAAAGTACAACTACAAGGGCTCCACTCCAAGGAGTTTCCACAGGACACTCAAACAAATATTTTAAAATTGTAGAGGGGATTTCAGAACTTCAGGCATAGATTTGGGGCATCCTATGTTAACCAAGGGCCTAAAAGTAGATCAAGCCTTGAGAATAGAAGTGTACAATGTGGCCCTACTTCAAGGGAGTCAACATTGGACAGACAGGGCCACATGTGTATCGTATCATGCTTGACATGTTACACAAGCCATGAGTCAAGAGTCCGAGTACTTCATACCAGATGTGTTCACACGGGACTGTCATGGGTTAAACTTTAAATTCGCAAAATCTTGAAGTAATAATCAAGGATGATCCATTAAAAACGATGAGGGTTCTCACAATAGGCCTGTCTTCACTATCTCGAGATTGCCAAATATCCAGCTATTTGAACTATCCCGATCGCAAACTATCCAGTTAATTTGCGTCTTCATCAGACCGAAGTAGCAATTAGAAGGATATTTGGTCAGGATTGTCATCCCAAGATATCTTGGGATAGTTTACAAAATATCCCACTATTTGGCAAAATATCCAGCTATTTGTCCCGTGCATCTTCACTAGACCAAAGATTTGCAATACACGCTAACGCTGAGCAAAATATCTCGATTAATTTCTCAAGGTCGAGTTTCAAGTTTTGAGGTCGAATCTCGAGATAGTGAAGACGCGATTTGTTACTTCGGGATTATTTCCCAAATAGCGGGCTATTTGGCAATCTCGAGATGATGAAGATGCGCCTAATGGGTACTCAAAGTTTTAAACTAAAAGTGGGCAAGCAGTCATGTTAAACCTACAAGCTGGCGTAACCTGGAAGTTCATGGCATCTGCATTGCAGGACTTTGAGCAAGGATCCCCCTGCTGCTCGTAAATATCATGCTAACCTGAAGATCACTTGCGGATTATAACTACAAATAAAATCAAAGTTTCATAACCACAAGTGTGTAGGCATGGTCCCTAACTAACTACAAAAAACAAATATGAACAAAAACACGATCTAGACTTCAGATTTATTAAAATTGCTAGTCTGATATGACAGACTAGCCTTTCCTCAGACACCTATAGGGAACTTGTCAATTAGAATACTTGGCAAAGAGTTAACAAGACAGTGTACCTGCTACGCCTACTCAGAGGCAGCATCTAATCACGGACCTACTACATGATACAATGAAACATATGGTGATGTTTTATTCTTTGAAGGTCCTCCCTGATGATGCAGAGAAAAATGAGACCAAGGACACATAGCCCTAAAAAGTTTCAGTAATATTTTTCACATTACAAAGTACTTGATCAGGGTAGGTAACAAAATAATGGCTCAGTGCATGGTACAGCAGTGGTCTTGTAACCTGGAGGTACCAGGTTCAAGACCAAATTGATGTGCAAGTACCCTGTGGTATGGCATTAATCTTCATTACCTAGTCCATCAGAGAGGACTGATAGCCGTTGGTCCCCTGGTTGCTTACTAACAATCATAGTAGCATAAACATGTTCTTAGCAGTCAGGTAAAAACAAACTAACAAACTAGCAAATAGAAGCATTGTACTAGTCGCATACAAGGCTCAGACCTGAAACTTGTGTGTACATTTACCAGTCGGCATTCAATTTGAATACATTACGAAAATGGCCAGTTGTATAAGATTATTACAAAAACATGTTACATCAGACTTTACAGAAGACTTATAACCTGATGACGAATGGTCAATGAACCCTTATCAAACACAGAAACAATAGCCAGACATAATTATATGACACATACATCTAGACAGTGGATGTTTAACAGGAAACATTCTCTTTTTGTGTCAGACGCCAAAGCAATTAGGAAAAGAGAATGCACTGATGTAGGTTATAAAATCTATTACAAATTAGCCCCACGATCGAGTCACGATGCAGGTTCTTCTGAAATGTTACAAAAGCTGCATTTACAATGCAAGCGAAAATCATTGACCTTATGTTCCAGTGTTTCATCGGAAGTGGCTTAGCCACTGGTACTGGCAAACACAACGAAAAACCAAAATAAATATACCTCTTTGGTGTGTTTTTTGTCAATGCTGGCAGAAAGTCACCGAAATTTGCAGTGCAAATGCTCACTTTCGAAACATTGATGTGATCGGATGAATAAAACATTGTGTGTGCTGAGTAAAATGGGCTTAATTTGTATGCCATGGCAATTAGGCCAAATAAAATGAATTCTTTGTTTCTCATCCTGTACTCCTTCCGCTGTTTGGCTTGTCATAATATTTTTTTCATTTTATATTTTCTTCTGAAATTAATCAAACAAGGATCTGCACAGGTTTTTTTTACATTGTTCATTTTTTGTCACGTACGCCTAATATCCACTAGCCCATAGTACTGGATAAAGTTCTGTTGAAGTTGCTTCTATTTTTCTAGCTGTAAACAAGCTCTTATCTTTGCAGGTGATTGGTACAGTTCAACCAAAACTTTACAAGAGGGAAAATTGAAACCATCTATAGAGAAAATACATGTAAAATGGGGGTACATGGAGAAAGTTCTTACTCTGAGGGCTGACATAGATCCGTCTTCAGAGTTAGAATGTGGTCTCATTCTAGAGAGTATAGTCATGCACCTCTACATGCAGTACTCTGTATTGTGTGTACTATTGTGTGGGTTTACACTCTGAGGCTGTTCACACCGCAATGAGATAGCGCGGTCTATCATAGTACCCCCTTTTTTCTAGCGCGCGCTAGACCGCGCTATCTCTCGTGGACCACCCCCAAGAGGTGCTCCAGTGGCACGCCATTTTGGCTCGCCGTGGCTCGCTGTTGGGCGGACCGAAACGACATTGTACCTTCCAAACCGCAGAGATTGCGCGGTCTAGCGCGCGTTATCTCTGCCAGTGTGAACAGCCTCTTTAATGTCATGAACAAAGTCATACCCATTCACACAAGGTGACAATGTCATATCTTCGGGAAAATGATTTTAAAAATTTGGCACAAAACATTTGACACTGTAACTAAGATTCATGAATTTGGGGGGTTACCCAAACAGGATAGACTACTTCATTTAAAAAATTAGAGGGTTATAATTTGTTTGGCAACGTTGGTATATGTAACACTACTCAAAAATCTGAACCAAGTAATTGTGAGAGAAAAAAGCAAATGCATAAAAGGTTAAAAATGAAATGACAAACTGAAATTATGCTTAAATTGTAGTGATTATACATGACACAACAAAAGCATTGATTTGATAACATCAGGCAATTAACCTAAAAATCGCAGCTCTGTGGCCAGCATGGCAGCTAGATGTCAAACATCCTACAAAATAGAAATTGTTATTGTTTCATGATAATCTCATGCAATTCAATGTTACCATTTGTTACCATTAGACCACCCAAATTCACTGTTGTCACTGAAGCAATAATATGTACATTGTAAGCCCAAAATGTAGATGTAGCTGAGGTTGCCCAACTGGTTCCCCCCCCCCCCCCGCCCCCTCCCGCCCCCTCCCATGCAACAAAGGCAAGAGCACTGTCTTGCTAAACAACGTTTTAAAAAGTGATATAACACTTTTAACTTTATCTGTTTAAAATAATACGTGTAGAAAGATTTTTCTCCACTACAGCTTTCATGCCAATGACAAACAAAAACTTTCATCCTGGAAATTTTATTTCCTGAAAAATGGAGGATGTGTAAATGAGGTTGGCGTTTAATTTATTGGGGAAGTTATTAAAGGTCACCATAACAGAGCGAGTGTCATGTGGAATGTTAACCTATGTCTCTATAAATCAGTCTGCTCTCAAATCATACCCTGGAGTATATAACCTTTCTTTCACCTGTAATTGCCG